GGCCGCGCCCCGCCCCGCGCACGCGCGCCGCCGCCCGCCGCTCCGCGCGCTGCCCAAACCTCCCTGGCCAATGGGCGCGCGGGGCGGGGCGGGGTGCACTTTGTCCGTGGCGGGCCGGCCTCGGCCTCGGCCTCGGCCTGGGCCCGGGCTGGGGGGCGGGTGCGCGGGCTGGGGTCCTGGGGCCTGGGGGCAGCGGACCAGCGGGCTCGCACAAGGGGTGGGGCGCGGTGCCCGGCGGCCTCGGACCTGCAGTTCGTGCCCAAGTCTCACCCCACCCGGCCCCGGCGCGCCCGCCTTCCTCCCAACTTCGTTTTCCGGGCAGAAAACCATTGTCTGCCCGGAGGGAGGAGGTGGGACCGGCGCGCGGCGCTTCCTGCCCTCGCAGTCGAGGGGCGCTGCTCCTGCGCCCCCACCCCTCCTCCGCCTTTGACCCAGGTTTCTCTGGGTTGGGGTTGGGGGGCGTCCGATTTTATTCCAGAGAGACATGGGCGCGGGGAGAGGGCGAGAAATGGGATAGAAGGCCCGGGTAGGGGCAACCAAAACGGAGCAACCAGAGTTTCCCCCCAAAAAGGGAGAGAGGCAAGTGAATTAGCTGAAACGCCCACTGCAGGACTCCCAAGTTCTTACTAAGTACTTGTGAAAGTGGGTCCCAACCCCCGAGTTTTGGGGCACGCGGGGAGCAAATCAGCCACCGCTTCCTTAGCTTTCTTAGTTTATTGAGGTTTTACTTACTGGAACATGAGCCGGGAGGGGCGGGTTGCAGAGCTGGGTCCCGCGAAAGACTGGGACATTCGTGGGCCCCCAGGGTTGGCAAGTGGGGTCTCTCGGGTCCGTCGCCCGCGGCAGAAGCGGCACCAAACCCGGCCAGGGGTGGGACAGCCCCGATCTGCCCTGGTCCCCGCGGGCAGGCCACCTGGCCCCTCTACTTCCCCACTAGGACTGCATTCCGTTGAGCGACTCACACTAAGTTCTTTGTATTTTGAACCCCAGCAAGGCAAACAGAACGGAGGTGTATATTAGCCCTGACTGTATTTTCGCTTAATACATTCCAATTCAGTGGGAATTCATTTTGTGTTTTATTTCTCCCTTGAACTTCTGTGTTCAAGTACTTTCTGTCGAGCAAATAAAAAATCCTGTTTCACGTAGGAGCCCATCTCCGTTTAACTGTGGAAGTTAAGAGCATATTTATGAAGGATTCTGGAGGAGAAATAGCTATTTTTTTGTTTTAACGGAAAGGCCAGGTGTAGAAAACGGACTGTGGTAGTCCAGCTTGCAATTTATGGGGTTATTACTCAGTTCATTTGGTTAACTTGGTCGCATTTGTTTGGTGTCCCGGAGAGAAGTTGCAAACTCGGGTGCCGATTGCAAAAGGAGGCTGGAAAAAAAAATACGTATATATATTTTGTGAGAGGGTGGTGGTTGCTCACTTAGGAGGGGCTGGGGGGATCCCTGTTTTGTGGTAAAGTGAGCAAGGGTGAAGAGAGCCGCGTGTGCTTTGTGCCAGCTCCTTTGGTCCCTGATTTGTGCAGCTAGGCAGTAAATTGTGGAGCCAGGGGCAAAGGTGCGTTTATTGTAATCCTATAAATAGCTGGATTAGTTTCAAACCGTGTCTCCTTGTAGAAACTCATCTTGGATGTAAGCTTTAGCCCTGGAAGTTTCCAGCTTCCTGTCTGATACATAGTATGCCAAGATACTTGCTTAATTTTTTTTCAAGAACAAAAAGCTTTAAGAAGGGGATTCTTTCTTCCTTTAAGAAATAAATTAGTTCAGAATTTGATGCTAACACATTGAAAACAAATTAATTTCCTGGAAAGTTTGGCGCCTACATCCTCTACCCAACTTCAAACACCTAGTTGGGGAAAATAATATTCAGACAATTCATTTGGAGAAACATACATGATTTAACTAGCATGAGACCTGTGGATAAATATGGTGAGAGTATGATCCAGAATGTGTGAAGTGTTCTATAAATGCCCAACTAAGTAAGCAGGAAAGAGTAACTTCAGCTAATCCTAGTGCGTCAAATTGTGGGTTGGGGCTGAAACAGATCTGTCTTCTGTTTTGACTCACATTTTAAGAATTGCAGGACAAGTTAAAACTAATCGTATTGTTCATTTAACAAACAGTTACTCAGCATCTGTGATACTGTGGGCACTGCTAACTGCAGTAATTAGTCCATAGCAGTTCTTACAGTGCCAGGAACTGTGTTCAGTGTCATGGCCATTGGCCACCGGTTGTTCCTGGGCAGTTGGAATGTGGCTAGTGCTACTGAGGCATTGAATTTAAATTTAAATTTTAAGCAGTTTAAAT